TAGCAGTGAAAACTAGTTAAGTTCGTGTGATTTGAATTTCATGTGAAAAACTGTTTTATATGTCACCTAATATTAACTTCAATTAATGAAAAATATTGTATCAGGCATATATATTAGAAAATTAAAACTATATGTAATATTATTGGGGCTCTGTGATAAAGAGAAAAGTTCTCTGATAAAATATTTCTATTTATTCTAGAACAAAATGTAGAGCAGAGACACGTATAATGTAAAAATATTTCTGCTGGTTAGAATTCATGGAAAGTCTTGTTTCCAATCCGCAAAAGAAAAAAAAAAAACTATAGTCAGGATAAGTATCATTTATTAACCATTCCAAATGTTACAATTTCTCTTAGACCTAATTCTATCGTAGTCGATAACGGACGCATTCTGTTTAAAGTTTTAGAACCTGCAACCTGGCTGTCCTATGAACATCTCCTATCCTCTCGGACATTTTTTTGCCAGCGAAACTGTAATCGTCGTATCGGGCCTCGTGGAGAACCTGGAAACCCAATTTATCTACGATTCGTTGGCTATAGTTGGAGGCGACCACGCAGTAAATTATCTCCGGGAACACGTTCTGCTCTAGGATTCCACCGTCGATCGATGTTCTCATCATTGTACCGTTCAAGAGTCCTCGACCGAACTCGATACACTTCTCTACTATTTGGCGGCCGATTCCACGGCCTTGGTACTGTGGATTCGTGCCAAGATAAAACAGCTCCATCGCCCCGTTTACATTGTACCTCTCGAATACATCCACCTTGCTCTGAATCTGTTGTTTTGGACCAAGTAAAGATTGATCTTACATTTGTTGGTGTCTTTGAGGGAATTTGAAGAGAAAAAGCTTCTAATAACGCTATCGTTGCCATTGACAGATACAGTGCTTCCCTTTAATTAATTAAGCAATACGTCCCTTTAATTGTTCCAAAGACAGATTTATTTGTAGTAGTCTAACAAACGTCCTGATCAAGTTCAGAAATACATTTATATCTTTCAAACCTCTAATTAGACTCTACGATACTGGCAACGCAATTACTGGACAAATTGGGGACGACACTTGATCTAAACGAGGCAATTCAGCCAATAAATAGGGAACACTCACGTCATCGAGGAACTTGATAAGTTCTCTGCACGTTTGGTGCCTCAGGCTCTCTTCTATGAATGTTTCTAGCTCATCTTTCGCACCTTCCTTGGGTTTAGCCTTCAAAGAGATAGAGATCATTTGGTGAAAAATACTTGGAGAAACTTAATTGCATGAAAATTGGGCAAGAGAAGCTGCTGAGCTTCTGTGGGAATTGAATAGAAACTTGCGTGAAGCTTGTTAAACGCCACTGCCGCCAGTTCGTTCGTCTTCTTGTCAACAGCCATCAGTGTGGTACCATCTTTGATGATTTCTTTGAAGATTAGGTTCATCTCTTCTGGAGCACCATCCTCTTCAAACATCCCTAACCCTATTGCTAGATTCTCTTGCTTCATAGTCTGTGCCTGAAGAGCCAAAGCATCCTCTACTTTGTCTCTGGTGAGTAGTTTGTAGACCAGTTCATCATCCGAGTCCAAGAACATTACTTAGAAGATCGAAATTTATTTATTGGAGCTCTTTAATACGTAAATTGTGGATTTTTGTGCATTTTATAGGGAACTTGAAGGTGCAAGAACAATGAAAATTTTATTTTTCTCAGAAACGACTGACTCGTGACTGAGAAATTTTTTTTTCCAATGGTTGAATTATTATAGAATCTATTTCGTGCATATGGGAGAAACAAACTTCTTTAAAAGCCCTCGTAACTAATATTTCCAAAAACTGGATCCCTCTCCCACTTTTATATGGACTGTCCTAACTCAACTTTCGATTATTATTTTATCAATTTTATTCCAGATGATAGGCGGATTATATCTGTTACCTGTTGTTTCGATAAGCTGATAAAAAGCCAGATAAGAGACACCGGTGCTAAGATGACTGGTAGCGATAACTCAATGATAGATAGACTGATATTTGAGAGAAAAACGATGTTCCTGGTAGCATGCACGCTGGTGGAATGAAGCTAAATTCGAGTAGTTTATTCCAAGCGACCTACACTCTATTGTTGGTATAGCTCTAGTGTCTTGATAAGCAACCGCCGCTTGATTTTTCAGCGTCCAATTAATGCATACTGCGGAAAACGCTTTTGGTTATCTGTAATGCAAAACTGCAAATAAGACACTGTTATCTTTTATACTGAATACTCTACTTGCACCATGATGTAAATAATAATTATTACATTCAATATGATAGAGAAGGAAGAATAATTCGAGAATTATAATAGAGAATTAAACAACTTGTTTATTACAGAGAAAAAAAAATTTTGATATAATGATACTTTGAACAATATTTATATGTTGATAGAATATATCTAAATGGCCGTTTTCACTGATAAGCAAATTATTTTTGGACACAGTGCCTGATAGCTTGATAATGCAGTCATGATACTGCAGTAGCCAATTATCTTCATACTCGGTACAGTTTTATATAAGAAAATACATGTTCTTTTACATCTTTAAAAATAAAACTATCGGTATGAATTCTTTTATAATAAATAATTCTTTTATAATAAATAAGCTGTGAATATTTCTATAAAAGAAAATAGATTACAATCTATAATGCAAACGCATAAAAATTCGCAATCCACTAATAAATTAATATCTTAAATAGTTGGATTCAGCCTACAACAATCTTTTAGCCACTAAAACGCAGGTTTTATGTTCAGTCCCTATCCTCTCACTGAAAGTCTTCCCTTTAAACTGAAACTCTTCGAAGTTAACTGACATCAAGTTTTCGAATCTACACTTCGCTGCAATTTTCTGTGAATAGTTCGATGTCATCAACGCAGACACTAAATTAGGTAATGCCTCCAGATTCTGTATCTTATTGTCATCATTTATTATGACTGGTATTTTCACAATGTTTCCCTTTTTCAGCTCCTTTGCTACTTCTATGGACGAAAATATCAGTAATTCACCTATTCTGCGTTTCTGATAATTAGGCAACGTGGCCAGAAACATTATTTCGAAGATGCAGTCAGTATTGTAGTGCTTAAATAAATTTATTTTGGCATCCATATTGATCATGAAATCCACAAGAGCTTTTGATGATTTATACTTGCAGTTTTCACTGAATATTTCAAAAGCACTTTTTTCTGATGAACTGTTCAGGAGCTGAAAAAAAATATATATATATTATCGAAAACTGTATGTGTGTGATATTGTTGGTTTGATTTTTTGTTCATTTTTATTTACCTGTATCTTGTTAAAAGCCACTCCAATAACTTCTCCACTATTTACATCCACGGCCACTACACTAACTCCATCCTTGGCTGTCTCCAAACAAAGTTCCTCCAGTTCTTTTGATGCACCTGGTTCTGAGAGCAGATCTACTCCCCTGCATACATTCTCGTAGATGAAAAAACTCTTCCTAATGACATCAAGCGCTCCTTCGAGAGTGTCATTCGTCAAGGACTCGAAGTCAACGGCCCCATCTTCCGTGGAGCCCCATATTCGGTATGGTGACATTCTGTTCCGTGTCCTGGAACTTCAAATGAGACAACCCAGTTTAGAATAACTCATTTTGTATTTAAACTCAAGAAACTATGATAACTGTATACAATGATGAATTTATAAATAAGTAAATAGCCATTATTTAAAAAAATTTTAATTTGAACGATTAAAGTTTTCCACGTAATTTGTACAATTCACCACTTCGTCTTTCCTTTTTTTCAGAAAATTATCTCTTTTATATCGGTAATCATCAATGATTGATTTAAAAAGAGTGACCACGATTCTTCTCTAATATTTCTTCTCACCTCATCTCGACTGAGTGTGTAAACAACGCTGAATCACACTATACTGACGATGATCAGCCACTTGCTGAGATTACAAAGTAGTTCAACACTATCATCGATGTGTATATATACATGTCAATAATATATACACGGGAACAGTATCTCGTTTCATGTACGCTACATTGAAAAATTTCCTCAATTTTTTCAACTTTTTTTTTTATCACCATACATTTTGAAAACACTAATCAAATCGATTCAACGAAGTCAGAAATAAAAACAAAATTCGACTAATAAAGAAATAACAATTTTTCAGATTATTGACGGAAAATTTGGATCTCGGATTCCTGTAACAAATTTATGATTCATGATTTATAACGAGACCATCAGATAGCAAGGAATTTTTTGGAGTCGAATGAACTCATTGTGGTCGACAACAATGCAAAAGATAGTCGTTGAGAAACGTAATATATGCGAATCAACGAACACATATCCACATGCAAGGACGTGTGCCAGTTAGAGGGGGCATGGAAGTGCCGTAGAGGTAAATTTAGCCGACTCGCAGGTTCAAAGTGCCGTTAACTATGGGTAATGCTAATTTAATTAAGTTAATAAACCAAGTCTTTATTGAGGACTGTTAATTATTATCTAGCAGTGGCAATAAACTTGAAATCCTTTCGTACAAGTACAAGTTTCCTCTGGCAAGAAACGATATTCAGTTTATGATGGAACGACGTGTAGACTCTTTTTATAGGTCTTGACAATTGGAGATGATGATTACTTGATGAACAATGATGAATTCTTCTAATAGACTGTTCTTTAGTGCAGTTTTATTTTATTTCATTTCTATTCTGTAATGACGACAAAATTTTTCAACTTTATACTTGTCAATTTAAAAAATATCAAACGTATTACAATAATAAAAAGCAGAAGATACGTTATCGTTAGATATAGAACATACACTGTCGTATTTCGTTTAAATGGATTACCAGGAAATTGCATCGACAACATCCTAAATACAGTCCGATATCTGTTTTAAAAAATCAACAAATCTCATTACCAAATATTTCAATTTATATTATTGAAAAAATTTTATTAAAAAAAAAAAACAAATTTTTTAGTTACTTACAGTAATATAATATTCTTTGTTGTTCAGTGTGCAACTGTACACCGTATAACGTTTTCTAAATTCTTGTGTGGACGAAGTACAACTCGATCTATGATTTTATATCACGATCTAACACGCAAAATTGTGAAACATATATAACCAATTTGATTTGCGGGACTTTCAATGCAGAGTCCCTGGTATATGTGTACTTCCCAAGTTGAAATATTGACAGAGTATGTTCTGTAGCCAACATTATCGCGTTCTATAACAATATCAAATGACGAATGTTTCTATGAGGAAGAATTGACGATTGGCTGATTGGGTCACAGCCAGCCAGGCTGTCAAACGAACCAGCTCAGCAAGATAGCACTTTCTAACATCATTATTCAATATTTATAAATATTTAAGAGTATAATAAAATAAATTAGAAGAGTACAATAAAATAAATTGGAAACGGTTTCTAATTTAGTTGATAATTATCAGTGATTACCAAAGGTAAAGGATATACATGATAAATAACAATTGAGTTAGTGGTACGAACAATTAATAACTAGTAAATCCTAGTGTGATTAATGTGTTGGTAACTTAATTTCTTTAAATTAATTGATGACTAAAATAAAGTAAATTAAAGTAAAGTATATTATTTAACACAAAAATATTAAATTAATTTAATATTCAGTACAAAAACTATCTAAATAACATGTCCTAGATAAATAACGTTTATTCAATAATGTATATCAATAATGTATATTCGTTATTTTTAGTAATCATTACTACGATACACACAACGTATATTCTTCATTATCCTTAAACTAGGAATAGCAAATAAAAGATATGAAATATTCGATTTTGACATCGTGTATTTCTTCCTGTCGAAAATATACATATTCACTTTTTTTTTTTTTTTTTTTTTGCAGAATGAAAAAATGCGTCTGGAAAATCTTAAACAAGTTGCAAGACCATTACAGAAACAATGTTATGCGGTGGAGTGTCTTGGAAAATAGATTGGCCATCATTGTCTTTGTAATGCAACAGATCTACGTCCATGATGCTTTTCAGGCCAATATCTTCAGCTGCCTTCTTTGAATACAACGATGTATAGACGCCGAATATGAAACCAACGTCCTGCATCGTATCTTTTGCAAAGGAAATTCCCGCCGCCATCAGTGACCTTGAAAGTCCTTGTCTACGGTGATCTTTGTTCACAGCAACCGCGTAAAACTCCACTGCCTTTTTACAGTTCGGGTATCTTCCGTATAAATCAGCTTTCTCACTGATCTCAGATAAATAATTGAAATATCGTTTCATTAGTTTACTTTTTGGCGGATTGTTGGTGAACGCCACGGAAACGCCATCAGCGCCATCGTTACACTTCGAATTTTCGCTAACTATCATCAGATTTACCCCGATAATTTTCCCTGACGATTTTTCGATCGCTACGATGCACGGTGAGAAAGCAAAAATCGCTCGTATAAGTTGTTCGTGATCGATTCTCATTGTTTCTTTGTCCTCGGTTGTTAACAAATTATTGTCTCTCAGACTTTTTAACATTGTCTCCTCTTTGTCAAAATTTTCATGTAAAAGAGACAAAATCTCGGACAGATGAGCGTCATTTGCCCAATCGAGGATATATTGATCATTATTTGATTCCATTCTTGTATCGATATCCTTGAGGGCAAAATTGTCAGTGAATTAGAAATCTACTTTATCATCGTATTTTTTATTTCATCGAATAGTTCACTTTTTCACTTGAGTAGACTGGCGATTTATTTTGCTATATTTTATCTATGTATATCGCGATTAATTGTGTTGTATTGCGTGATTTGTTTATGTTGATAACAAAAATATCTTATAACTCAATACTTTTGATTACATCACGATTACGTCGTTGAATGGACCCAGGTTACTCGAGTGTAAATTCTTGGAAGGTGTCAGGTTAGAGCCGTGCACTAGACTTCTGATTGGTCGGTACTGGAATTCGAATCGTACACATCCATCGATAGAGCACGTGATTCATCCTCTCCTCAAAGTATTTATTTTTTTTTATTATTCTTACGCTTTTTTTAATCTTACACTTTTTGTACTCTTCGAAATTTACGAATATGAAAGAAAAAGAAGTTAGTGCCGAGCATAGTGAAAATACAAAAATCTGTGAACGAATGAAGAAATAACCTGTGATGATTTACACTTGAAATGCACACTTGAACGAATGCTTGCCAATGAGAGGAAGCAGACATTTCTATCGTTGAATCGAGGGTAATTATTTGCAGTCCGTATTGCAGAAAAGGTTGATCGTTGTCCGATTTTCGAACGCGCTCTTCCATTTTCGCGGCAGAGCGCGCGGCTGCGCGTGCGCACGCCAGGCGCCACTACAAAATAAGATGGCTGACCAGCGAAACAAATAGAGCGCCGTTGTAAATAACAAACCGTCCGATCACGTTTCGAAACGGTATTTCTTTAAAGAACAGCCAGTGTACGGTACTCTGGAAGCGCCTCGGTCTCGGTGCTTCGTGTTTCCACGGTGTGGAATCGTGCGGGCAGCGGACAACGTGCAATCGCGCATTCCAAGCCACGATTCACCGTTGAATGCGTCACGCGTGTCCACGAGCTTCGAGAGGAATAGTCAAGGGAAAAAAAACAAGCCAAAAATCACACGTCGCCAGGATGCAATTGCGAAAGCGAGGTTACCTCGCAATACATCTCCGCTTACGGCTCGCCTAGCTCCTCATGCTAGTCTCGTCTTCCGAATTGCTTGGAACACAGCATGAAGGAGATGCTTGGAGGGTGCTGCGTGTGTTCTGACGAGAGGGGTTGGACTGAAAATCCACTAGTGTATTGTGATGGCCAAGGTTGTACCGTTGCTGTACACCAAGGTTTGTCTGTCACGTTGAGTCTTCACTCTTTAACTTTCAGTTGCAATTAGATTAAAAGTATGAGATTATAATGTTACATTCCAATGTTATTGCAGCTTGTTACGGTATTGTTACGGTACCCACGGGACCATGGTATTGCAGGAAATGTGAGTCACAGGAACGTAGTGCGCGTGTAGTAAGTTTTGAAATCGTTATTGCTTTGGTGCAATAGTCACGTGATTGATTCCAAGATTGCATTAGTCACGTGATTGTCAAATTCTTTTACAGCGTTGTGAGTTGTGCCCAAGCCGAGATGGAGCTCTTAAGAGGACTGATCAGGCTGGCTGGGCACACGTGGTATGTGCTCTATACATACCTGAAGTTAGGTTTGGTAACGTGACAACAATGGAGCCAATTATTTTGCAATTGATACCATCTGAGAGATTCAGTAAGGTAAACACTTTCCAAAGTAAGATGTGCATTTGGTAATGATTATTTAATATGAAGTATATTTAATATGAAATGTAATGTGATTATTACAGTCATGTTACATTTGCGAAGAACAAGGAAGAGGCAGTAGAGCAAATGTGGGGGCCTGTATGCAGTGCAACAAGACTGGCTGCAGGCAGCAATTTCATGTTACTTGTGCTCAGGCTCTTGGCTTGCTCTGCGAAGAAGCTGGCAATTATCTAGATAATGTTAAATATTGTGGATATTGTCAGCATCATTATTCGAAATTGGTGTGTGTCTGATATTGTTCAAAATCAAAATTTCATCAAAATCAGAATCAATTGATTTCCAGTAACAGTTTGATCGTTTCACTTGCAGAAAAAAGGTGGTAATGTAAAAACAATACCACCTTACAAACCAATACCTGCTGATAATGGCTCATCAGACTCGTCTCCTGAAAAGGAAGCAGAGACCCCGATAAAATCTTCGTCAAGTGGTAAACGAAAGAGTTCAAGTTCCAAATCTGCTACAAATTCTAAAAACAAATCGAATACTAGTCCAAGTCTAGAAATAAATGGCGTTGCTGACGACAAAAGCAGTAGCGGCCGTAATACACCCAAAGACAACACCACAAATTCCAGTAAATTCACCACTTCCAACTTCGTAGAGACAATCGTTACCCAATCGGAGAGTGTGTTCGGACATGACGGTACCACGTCCACCACTGCTGTGGTGGCTGCCACCACTATTAAATCCGGATCAAACTCGAGCTCCAGCCATAAAAGCAGTGGGCAATCGAAATCAAACTCTTCGTCGTCAAACAAAACTTCGAGCCACAGTAAAAAAAGAAAGACAGGAGCGCGAACACCGACGGTAATAGGGAATGAAAATTCGAACCAATCGGTGAGTTCCGAAGCTAGTGGTTCGGTTGTGATTGCTGTAAGTTCTGTTGTACAGCAAGCTGTATCGAGCAATAACGTGCAAACAACTATAACTGAAGCGACAAGCTTAAGCACAACCACGGAGCCGGAAAAATCGAAAAAAGTAAGAATTTACGTAATAGTTTTCATTACAAAGTTTGTGTTCCAGTGCAATTTATATTTCGAAATTTTCTTGTTAAGTTAAAGGTGGAGAGCCCTATGCAATCATCGTCGAGCACTCCAGTCACCACCGAAGTGACCACCACACCTGTGATAATGGCAGTAACGCAGTCTCAATCATCTATTGTTACTCAGTCACCGACAACCACATCAAATAGTATAGTCGTATCTGTTCCATTAACCGCAACATCATTGTCTAGTACAGTACAGACCGTGGTGACAAGTGCCCCAACGCTCTATCAACAGTTGCAACAGAGTATCATAACTAACGCAGCCACCACCGAATCCAGAACAAATGTTATGTCAAATTCCGAAAGATTTATCTCAGAAGAAGCACCTATTAAGAGGTCTCGGTAAGTTTAAATTCAAATTTTGGTGCTGGTATTTCATCCACATTATTAATAATGTTTATAATGATTATCATTTTCATTCAGTTAATATTATTTTTAATATAATATAATTGTACTCGTAATATGCGTATATAATTGTAATACAGAGAGAAGATAATAACCTTCGGAAAATTCTTTAGATTATTACGAATAATTTCAAATGCGCGCCAAAACGCAAGGTATCAAAATGGCTGATTAGGTGGATAAACAAGCCTCTTTGTTTTTAACCTCTTCTTGCGTTTCATAAATATATTCAGGTAGAAAAAATCTTGTTGTGGATTTATGGTACTATGCAAAATATCGTTTCATCAAGGATGCGACTCTGTTGTTTAAAATCACCGGAGAACATCGTGGCGATTGGAAAACGTTTGCAACGAATTACGAATTGCACGAGTGCAAAAATGAATTCGGAACAATTTTTTATTTTACCTTTGTGTGATGTAAATTGTAAGCTTCTGAAGAAAAGTTATTGTGAATGTTTACTGTGATTTTGTTTGATGTCCTCTGATTCGTCTTTACGGGCACTTGAGGTTATGTTGGTTTTTTCTATTTCAAAGAGCCTCAAGGGCAATGAACGAAGGAAGGGAGTAACGTGATGTAAATAACGGAAAATATTATTTTACATTTTGTGTAAAGAATCAACTTTCCAAAATTTCTCAAGTATTCTTAGTTTCAAGGCCGCAGAAAAAAAGCAGTTAATCAATGCGACTAAATAAATGAAATACGTTTCGTTGGTTTCTCAGTTCTCAATCGTCAGATAAACAAGAAAAGCCTCGCAAACTAAAACGTGGATCATCAAATAGTCAACCAGCACTGCCACAGTCACAGATGCAACAGCACCAGCAACAACAACAACAGCAACAGCAGCAGCAACTTCAATCAGCAGCTTCATCTGTGGTAACATCAGTATCTAACAATGCAGTAGTAACAACATCTAAACGAGGAGGAAGAAGTAATCATCAAACTCCCCCACCTGCTATAACTGTTGCACCTGTATCATCAATTATCCAAGGGCCAACACTGTGTAGTGGTCATTTTAGTAACATTAGTTCTGGATCTGCAAACACTATGGGTCCTACTGTTAAGGAATCTCCACCCAGCAGTCCCGGTTCCGAGAGTATGAGCAGTAATGGACCAGGAAGGAGGAAAAGAAAAGGCACTAGTGCAGCTTCAACGACACCAACACCTTCTGCATCCACTACTCCGACGCTTACGAATCCGAAAGAGGAGAAGGATGTGAAATTGTAAGAATTACAAACGATTGTCATAAATGTTTTATATCATTGTACATATTTTAATTTGTAGTAATATCAGATTTCAGAATGGAGTTAGTGCACCACACATGCTTGGAAATCAATTGAACCCGACCTCTACGATGGCACAAAAAATGTCTGATACTCTCTCCCAGGAACTCGAAGCTCATTCTATTTTTACAGAAGCTAGTAATTCCACAACGAATTTAGTTGGTCCACAGCTACATAGTCGAGTAATTGCATCTGTAGGTGTCGTGAAAATAAAATATCGCAAGGATTTTATGTTCTAATAATGATGCATATCTTATAGATACGATCCAATCAATCAGGTGCACCGCCCACGTCATTTTCTTCAGTTTTTAATACTACTAGCAATACTAATACCAACACAAACAGCAACTCGGGCGCTAGTACAACCAGTACCGGTGCTTTAGGCGGTGGAGCAATACCCCAAACGCTCGACCAACTTTTAGAGAGGCAATGGGAGCAAGGAAGTCAGTTTCTGATGGAACAAGCCCAGCACTTTGATAGTGAGTGTACGGCAATGAAAAATTTGCTTTCAGTCATACGGGTTCGGTGAAATTGGGAATTTTCATTTTTTTTTTCTGCATCTTTTTTGTAACAGTGAATTTATACAAAATGTTAAGTATGTGTTGCTTTCTAGTTCGTGTGTGATTCACTAATACTTGTACAGACTAAAACAGAATATAAAATTCTTTTTACAGTCGCTTCTCTACTTTCGTGTCTTCACCAATTGAGAGCAGAAAATCTTAGATTAGAGGAACATGTAAATAGTCTTCTGCAGAGGAGAGATCACTTATTGGCTGTGAACGCTAGACTTGCAATTCCTCTGACAACTCAGCCTAGTGCCCATCCAGGTAATTTATTTCAATTTTCCGTATTCATTTCTTCTCATCATCATCATCTCAAAATTCAATCTTCTTAAATTATAGTGAACAACATACACCCAACAGTCAACCCATCACATCCCAATGTCCCACATCCCGAAGTCCCACCAGGAGCTGCAGCCCCTGTTCCAAGAGTGAGCAGAGAACCACGAGTAAACAATACATACATGCCTCACTCGAGCTCCAGTAATCATTCTACGACACTGGAAAATGGCCTGCCTCCAGATCCATCTCCTCCAGCTGCAGCTTCACTCTCACAGTACCAGCACAGGACGTCGTTGGTTGCACCCCAGCCAAGTCCAACGATCAGGTAACGTGTCTGTCCTCTACGCGATATCACACGTGCTGATGCTGCAAATTTATTTCTTCCAAATTATTGTGAACAGACACAGTCCGGCTGGAAGCGCATACCACCAGGGGCAGTCTAGCAATATAGTGTCCCCGGCGCCGACTAGTAATTCTGGTGTGGTCAGGAATTCGTCCGTTACACCAGATCCTCTGCGTGGAGTACCAAGGTAAAAAAATGATTGAATAAATTAATAACTCGAAAATATAAATCTATTTATAAATCTTTTGAAAGTAGATAATAAATCTTCTTTTTTAAATTTTAATGTCACTTTACGGTTAGAAAGGAATATTACATATTTAATACTATTTAATATAATTTTTAAAATCTTA